AAATTGATGTAGCAGCTTTTAGCTCATGCAAAATGGGTCGTCCCAATATTGAGTTATAGTTGGATGACAAATCAACCACCACGAAATTTGCTAAGATCCTTCTTTGGCGAGGAGCTTCGCCTAGTTCTACAATAAGGATGATCTGAACTCGGGCTTCAATAGGATCTCCAGAGAATCCCTGTAGTTTCCTTGAGTACAGTTGGAGGTAGCATTCCGATATTTCCAACTGTCTCAAAGTTCGTGAGTACAGTATGTTGAACGAATTTTCGTTGTCTAGCAATGTGCGGTGGACTTTTACTCTGGCAACTGGCATTGTGACCACTAGGGCGTCACTTTGGTCTTGGAGGATTCCTTCAGAATCTTCCTCCATGAAACAGAACCATTCAGGGTCTATCCCGATCTGCGGGGTTTGATTCCAGTAGTTCGGCATGATTCTTGCACTTCGGCCTTATCTTCGTCTCGCCCTTCTAGACCTCTCAACATATTGATTTCCTCCCACCATCATTTTGATTTCGACACGTGGGGATGGATTACGATTAGAGACTGCCTACTGAGCTCGTGTGGGAGGCCCTTGCAGCAGCGGCTGCTGCGTCATAGGTCAATATGCTTCTTTCGATTTGGCAACAAACTCCTGTAACCGACCTCTACGAATTAAGGACTCAACTTCCTCTTTTAATTCTAGGCAGTTAACAGTGTCATGGCCCACCATCCTGTGATATCGGCAGTATCGTCCTTGGTGGTGTCCTGCCTGCCCTTCCTTCATAATCATAGGCCTAAGAAATCCCTTTTTTTCATTAGTTTACGCGAATACTTCTTCCAAGGAGGCTTTGAGTGTGTGGTATTCCCAAAATTTGTATGGCTGAATCTTAGGACGTTCTCTTTCTCTTTCTCTCCTATCCTTCTTTCTTTCGAGCTGAGGACTGTCGCTTGATTTTTTTTCTTTCATCGTATTGCTGAGGTCGGGTTCGCATCTGGCTTCCTCTTGGTCAGAGGTTACCTCTTCAGCACTTATGCTGAGGTCGGGTTCGCATCTTGGTCAGAGGTTCGCATCTGGCTTCCTCTTGGAAGTTTGGTTCAAAAACTCGTGATAAGTTCTTGAGCCGTCCTCGTGTACTGACCACCAGAATCTCATTCTGGGCCTAAGTCCTGCTAGGACGGCCATGAATGCTGTACCGTCAGATATTTTTTCCACTTCCATGGATTGCTTGTTAAATCTGCTCAAATAGCTTTTGAGGGATTCACTTCTTCCCTGTTTGATGCTTACTAGCCGTTCTTTGGGTGTGGTTCTGGCCTTGGAGCCCATGAACTGAGCCAAGAATGCCATGGCCAGATCATTTCAATTTTTTACCAACCTCTGGTGCAGTCTCTTAAACCATCTCTCAGCTTTGTCTCCTCAAGACAGGGGGAATGCTCGGCACATAATTGAGTTTGCTTGCCCCTTGCAGTTTCATCCACGAGGTGTATTTGTCAAGGTGGCTGAGGAGATCACCATCCTCTTCGTATGCGGCCATCTAGGGGTTTTCAATTTTTTAGGTAATGGTTCCATAAGGACATCCTCAGTAAAGGGGGAATGTTGTTTGGTGAGATAATCTTCAGTGCCACCTTTGTTTTTAGCCTCCAAGTCAGCTATGCGTCTTTTCAGCCCGCTCAACTTGGGTTCTGTCTGCTCCAGAGGACGTTTAAGGTCGGGGTCGATTTGTCTTTGCGTAGGAGTTAGCGAGTGCTGGGTCCCCAGTCTGTCGAACACACTGCCAGTCCTCCTTGCTCCGGGATCCTTACTCCTAACTTCGTCAGTTCGCCTTTTTGAGAATTCTCCTTTTGAAAAGTGGAGAATCCTCTTGGTAGGGGACGTCTTGCTCTTGTCCTCGTAGGGGATTCTGGCTCGGTGTCTGGTGGGGATAAGTAGGCTTGACTTCGTTCCAATCGTCCCACTGCATTTGTCAGTTTTTCTAGGGCTTCGCTCATGGCTATCATCTGGGGGTCTTGTCGTCGTGGAGAACTTGGTGGAGTATTCGTTTCATGAGGGTGGGTGTGAGATGAGTTTCTAGAACTTGAGCTATGACTTATGACTCTCGGATTTTGTGGGGAGAATGAGACTATTTTTTACAATTGGGAGCCCTCCTTCTAGCACCAAACTGTTAACGTCAAAATTAGCAAGACTAATTTTAAGCCAACTTTAAGAAAAATGGGAATTTATTATTGAAAGAAACCACAAAATAGTGAGAAAGTGTAATTGTGCCATGAGCTTTTACATGAATTCACTTGCCCTTTACAAGATTTCTGTCTTACTATTTATACATGGCTCCAGTCAAAATTATATCAAATCGGTTAAATCAACTATAGTAACGAGCTCGAAACTCGGGTCGCTGAATTCTCCTGTGATTGGTCGACGAGGCAGGTGGCTATGTGTCAATGTTTTCCCCAGGTAATGATGACCTACAAGGGGCTTGAGAATCATGGCTTCAGATTGGCAGTTTTGGGCGTTGATGACGTCACTTGTGGCAAGTGTATATGATTGATAGAGTGATGTGACAGGAGGTAATCATGATATTTTTCTGAGATAACGATGGGCTAGTCCCATCTGGGAGCAGCGACTGAACATACATCTGTCTGTGATGGGTTTAGCGAATTATTTTTGTTAGATCGGAGTTCAATAGTCAACAAAGTTTTTTAAAATGTGTGGTTGAAAAGTTGTGGGTCCCATGAAAAATGTGATTAATATTAATAATTTGACTTTGACTTGAATTAAAATCAGATTATAATATGTACCAAACATTGGAGAATGACCTTAGTATCCATCATCACTAAGCACACATTTGGTTTGTGGATTTATATTCAATTGTGCACCTTAAGAGCATATTCTATCAATAAAATCTATTCAAATGGTCTATAATGCATAGATATGGTCCATATGGACATGTTTTGAATATGTCAACACATGATTTTTGGAAAAAATATTGATGTCAACACGTGCATTGAAATGTTATTAGCCCCCGTTTGGCCCCCATTTTCAGAAAATAAAAATGGGTGGAATATTATTTTTTTGAAAAATGAGTTATTAAAAAAGAATGAAAAGTTTTCGATTTATGTGTAATATTATTTTATGAAAGATTGTGTGGTTGAAAATGGGAGAGAGAAAAATAAAATGTAATGAAATGAAATTTAATGGGACCAAATGGGAGCTTTGTTTTAGTTTTTTTAATTTTATAACGGAATGAAATATTAAAATAAAGAGAGTTTTTTCTTCTCTAGACATGAGATGGAGGATGGTAGTGAAATGAGATCAAATGGAAACCTCCTTAAAGTTTTGAACTATTAAGGGTAATTAACATAAAATATCTTCACATTTTACTATTATTATACAAAACGTTTATACCTTCTAATTTTTGGTATTTTCATCCTTGATTCCTCATTTTTATTGTGCAAAACATCATTTTCATTCATTTCCATCCAAATTCTCCATTAAACGAACGTGCAAACACTGCTCTTGTCCAAATAAAAGGATATTCTCGTCTTCCCGCAATTTCCATTCAGATATTGCTTACTTGACCTTGCCCATCAATCCTTGCAATTAGCTCTTGCAACAACCAAACAGTACTTTTTTAGGGAATTACGCTTTCTAGTTTGTTGGAGTAATCAACGGGAAGAAAATGGGAAAAATGGTGAGAAGACAAGAATAGTATACACACGTTCAATTTATGGATAACTTGGATGAAAATGACGTTTTGCGTAGTAAAACTATGAAATTAAAGGTGAAAGTGCCAAAAATTAAAAGGTAAAAACATTTTTGCACAATAAAAGTGAAAAGTAAGGACATTTTGTTCTAATTACCCAACTAATAAATTAATAATTTTGCTTGTTAAAAGGGTTGATCCACTTTTAAAATAACAAACAGAATGTTTCACCTGTAGGAAAAATATTGATGAATTGCGCACACAAAATAAAAATATTGACCAATTGATCACTTAAAATACAAATCAACACCAATTTTTAATTCTTAAAAAAAAAACATAAATAATTGGTTTTTAAAAATTGTGCCCCATAGCCCCAACCCCAACAACTTCATCTTCCCCAAACTAGGGTTTGAGGACCCAATAGTGAAAATATCATCGAAAAAAAGTTGAAACTATGACCGAAATATGCACAACGAACAAGATCAACATTTTTATAGTTATTTTTTTTCCTTTTTCCAAACAGATATGGACATGTCTCGACACGATGCCACCAATGGGTATCAACTATCGATGCATCTTAGCAAATGGTTATCAATGACGATCTTTTTTTTTTTAATGCATTAAGAATTTGTTTGAGCCCTATTTCTAGGATAATAATTTTGTGATAGTGATTTTTTTTTGAAGAATTTGTGATTCAAATATAGGAAAAATTTTGAATTTACGTGTAAAATTATTGTACTTGGGATATGTATTGTTCAAATAAGTATGTTAAAAAAATGAGTTTCAATGAATAGATCTCAAACGTGGGCTAAATTAGTATTAGATGATTTCTAGGATTGATTTACATCCAAAAAGAGTCGTGTGCTTTTCAATTTCCAAATGTTTAATATTTGGAAAGAATTATTAAATAATTATAATATTTTTAAAGTTAGTTGTTCAATATGTATTACTATGATTATTTAATGATCTTGGAGTAATTAAGAAAATAAGAAAACGTCCTTTTTGTTATTTAGGTTCGTAAGAATTTATGTCCTAACCTTGTTACTTTTCGTCTTAAGTGATTGATCTTCATTAGTTTGACGATAGGTAAATCTCACTTCAAATGTTTTGATATGAACTCAAGTTGAGAAGTAATTGTTAACTTCATAAATTTAGTGCACGAGTATAATAAAATATTAAGGATCAACTTACTATATTTTAATATTTAGAGACTAACTTGCTACAAGAACAATTTATTGGGGACTCGTAATGAAAATTTCCCCTAATTTTTATTTTTCTTTATTTATTTATTTTTTATGAGCCCATTTATGCTCTCCTAACTGAACCAAATCGAACCCGTACACGGCGTACACAAATTTCGAATCTCCCACGCCAGAGGAAGAAATTGGGGATTTGGGACACAGTACAATCGCAATCACAGTATTCCGATAATGGAAGACGATGAAGGGGGAAGATTCAAATTGAGCAAAAGGCTTTCAGATAAAGAAGGAGAGGTTGATTACAAGACCAAAGCGGGTACCGCATGGTCACACTCGTTCCTCAACCAGAAACCATGGCACCCTCTTTCATATCCCAATCAGCGACGAAAGTGGATCGCCGAGCAAACCGACGCCCAGAAACAGCGCCGCACGGAGGAGGTTGCCCGTGAGGTACAACCCAGTTAGCAATTCTCATATGTATAGT